TGTGTGTGTGAAAGAGAAAGAAAGAGAAAGGGCGATAGATAGATAGATAGATAGATAGATAGACAGATAGATAGATAGATAGATAGATAGATAGATTATAAATTACTTTCAGAAATGGGAAGTCAATACATCTGGCTTTACAGTACTGTCAAAGCTCACAGGATCTCCCAAGCGTATTGTGGGAAATGGGAAGATTTACAGTAACAAACAACAGAACAATGGCGAAAACACCGGCAGACAGAAACGTTTACTCTTTGATAAGCTCTTGTTTGAAGTCTAATTCTACCATCGCCTCCTTAGGGGGGCTAGAACAGACGGCAAAAGTTAGAAAAAATAATCAATTAAATGATGCAATACTAACAAATAGATCTAATCATTATTATTCATATTCTCTCACTGTTGGAACATCACTGTTTTTTTCTTACTCACATTCTAAAAGTCAATGATTGTCTATTACCGATAAGATTATTAACAAGGCACCTGAAATAAGGACACGGGACACCCCTCCCCCCAACCCCCTCCCCCAACAAAAAAACCCCAAAAAGTTCTGCAAAGTTTTTCCTTCACCTATCTCACCTCGCCTGTGGTATCACAATTTAGCCCCTTTCCTTTTGAAAAAGAGAAATGACTTTTGTGTACTATCTATCCTATCAGCGAAAGGCAAAGCGGCGTAACTGCATATTTCATGATTTTGAGGAGAATGAAAAAAAAAATTTAATTAAAAAAAAGTTTGACGACTAGCTCTGCCGAATGAGACTACTTACATCACTCTGCCATCAGCAATAGGATTGAGACCTGTCGAGTCACTTACATGGCTTTGAAAACTACGATTTCAGATGTGAATAATATGTCGTCCTGTCTTTGGTACATCAAAGTTATCAAAATGGTATTAGTGTAAAAACCAATAAAACAAAAAGAAAATAAATTAATCATTTCCAAAACCCATCTTAATTATTAATTTTTGTGAGATACACAACTGTGCCTTGAGCCCGCATTTATCAGAAGTGGGTGATTGACGGGTACTCTGATGTGATCTACTCCTTCTTTCCCATCAAACGTCTATCTTCCTCACCTCTCCTTCCTCTTTTCTTTGTATGTTTGTCTCTAGTAACACCTCTAATCTTCGAAAACTAAATGACCTATTTGTGTTGTGAATAACAACCACCTACGTTTGTCGTAAGCGCAGCATAATATCGCTGCCTCAGAACTACAAAGTTCTATGTGATATGTTTGGTCGTTTTGAGTTACTAAGAACATGAAGTTAGAAAACAAACGCTCTATCTGCTCTATCAGAATCGTAAGAATATTCGGAGTCGTTATCAAGATGTTCAAAGAATTGCATTTGTAAAAGCTTGACATGTTGTGAAACTCAAAAATTTTGACGTCAAATTTCTAACAACTAGACTAGGTATTGAACATATACATCTTTGTAATTCTAGGGTAGCGACATTTTTGTATATTTCTCTAGTTTTGTGTCCTGTTCTGCTTTAGTAGAGGTTTACGGCGCTTGCAACTGCACAAGGTCATGAGCGCCAGAAGATAAAAGATGTTACAAGAGAGTAACAAACATGAAAAAGAAGGAAGGGGAGATAAGGAAGATAGATGTTTGATAGGAAAGAAGAAGCAAACCACACCAGAGCACCCACCAACCACCCACGTCTTGTGTCCAGATCTCTTTCGTGCCGATGTATTGACCAATGTTCGGCTCAGCTAAACGGGAGTTTCCCGAAACTCTACCCTGTAAGGCGCTCTTTTGAAAGGATCTCTTGGTGTCTATTAAGACATTAAACTCATGCGGAAGCAAATGCCCTTGCCTCTAATACCTCTTTTCACCTGCTATTCTTCTTCTCTTCCTTTTTTCTCTTTGCCCATTCATTCATGTTTCCAATTCATTCATGTTTCCAACTCTATCTTTCTCTTTCACGTTATTTTCTGATTTTCTGTTTCTTCTTCTTCGCTCTTTGGCCCGTCTGTTTGCCTTTTAGTCTGTTTGTCTGTTTGTTTTTAGTTTTTGTTAGAGTTTAGAGATCTGTCTGTCTGTCTGTCTGTCTGTCTGTCTGTCTGTTGTCTGTCTGTCTGTCTGTCTGTCTGTCTGTCTGTCTGTTTGTCTGTTTGTTTTTAGTTTTTGTTAGAGTTTAGAGATCTGTCTGTCTGTCTGTCTGTCTGTCTGTCTGTCTGTCTGTCTGTCTGTCTGTCTGTCTGTCTGTCTGTCTGTCTGTTCATCTGCGTCTATTCTCTTGTCTTTCTCTCTTACACACGGTTTCCAGTGACAATCATTGTCCTACAAGTCAGAACAACATATGACATAATCAAATAAACAGAATAATCGTTTTGCGCGCACTTTTCGGGGGGGGGGGGGAACTGAAAAATAATTACATTTATTACACATGTCTTGTATGCAACGCGAAAAAAAATGTTCTAGTATATCGAGTGACAACATATTTACGACATAACCTCAGCTTGTTGATAGTGGAGTTTCATCTTGGTGATTTTGATGCGACAGAAAATGTGTTCAACTTTTAAAACATTTTACATAAAAAACAACAGATAAGATCACAGACTGCAAATTTAATTTGAACATTTTTTTTGGGGTGTTATGTAGCTGTCACACAATCGTTTGTCATTGTTCACCTATCTGACGTCAGAACGTCTGTCGTGACGTATAGCTGATGGAGAAAGTATGGCCACTATACAAGTTGTGATCGTCGATCCGATCTCGGGAGAATTTTCCCGAGAAAGAAAAATGCGGTGGCATTCTCTTGGGGGAAAACGCAAGCTAAAGATAGGTTTAGTTTCTTTGAGTCTGAGCTTCAACAGAGATCAACATTTTGATCGGGAATGCCCAATCTTTGTAGCGTAATCCTGAAGTTATCTTCATAAGCTGCAGCCCATGTGATAAAAAGTACCCCGTTTCTGAAAACATTTATTGAAGTCGATGAGACAATTAATGATTTGTTTTCGATTTTACCCGTTTCTTTTTTAGTTTTATTTCTTCAAACCATATTATCTTTTTATCCCTTTGTTTTTATTTGCTTTCTAGTTATTCTGCGTGATTCTTTTCAGTCAGTTCAACTGTTCATTTTGAGCTTTTTCTTTCTTTTCTATTTCATCGTTTTTTCTGTTGAATTTGTCTTCTTTGCTGTCATTTTCTTCGATCAGTCTTCCTTTACTCAATTATTCCTGATCTTTCTTGTATTCTATCTTTTAATGGTTTTTCTGCTTACACCCCCTCACCCTTTCACCACTCGGACCAACCCTGATCCCTAGGCCCTGTTTTAAGTATGATAGATCTTCCATAGCAATGATTTGCATTGGTGATCGTTTTCAACGGATGCATCTTTTCAGATAGAAGGAAAACGAGGTAAGGGTAGAACCAGAGAAACTTCTTTGGAAAACCCGAAGAGATGGATGATGGGGAAACGCCAGAATGATAAATAGTGGGTTATTTTTTTAAAAAGAGCATCTGAGTGGGGAAATAAACGGAAAATCATGATCGCCGATGTGTGTTTCAGATCTTGCACTTCATGATGATGATTTATTTCTCTCTCTCTCTCTCTCTCTCCTCCACACAGAACCCTGCTCAGAACACCGAGACACACAGACTCTGTCGACACAATGAACTCTCCCGTGACGTGGTCAATCCTTGTGGTCTGCGCTGTCTGCTTGCTGATGACGTCATCCGTCCAAGCGTCACCCAGACTTCTGAAAAACCAGCTGATGCAAGCGGCAAGCCACCAGGTGAGGAAATCCCATACACTTGATTTATATTCCACACACACACACACACACACTCACACACACACACAAATTGTACCATATGTGTACGATTTATATTAATGATACTACACCAGACGCTGTCATGACCGCCACTCTTTCTTCTCTATAAAAACTTTGCTTGCTCTGGAGCGCACAAAACCCCCAATATCTTTATTGTCTAGTGCGGACGCACCTTTTCCCTTCTTGCCTTTTATTTAGGTTTCAGTAGAGTAAAATGGTGCACTCACAGGGAACAGGAAGTACGTCGGCGTGCATGGTCTTAGATATTATGATACAAATCTATGGTAAATATACAACGAAACTTTTCAAAACTGTTCTTGTGAGGTAACGAGACGCAATTTTGGTCTACCAATGTCGGTAGCTGATTGCGAATTTGCCCTGCTGGCGATGGTGGAGATTCTGTTTCAGGAAATATCTCATTTTTTTCTCGTCATCTTTCCCTTAGAGTCTGTTCGTTTCAAAATAATTCTCTTGGAAATAAAGGCCGGTAGTCAACGGCATAATAGCGCTTCGAAAAAAGAAATACTTGACACCTCCACCTATTTTCCTAAACAAAGAGCTGGCAGAAACAATTTCCTCCCCATGGAAAAATAAAAAAATATAAACCCTCAAAACCCCGAAAGAAAAAAGTTTTTATTCTCTTTGGAAGTCTCATATTTGCAATGGGGGAATTCCAAATATTGACCATATTGCCTGAAAAAAAACCCCAAGTGAACTTTCCAGAAATTGGCAAACGTATTTTCCAAGAGAGACAAACATCAGGTTTTTATTGAAATGCATAAACAAATTTATTTTAAAAATAATAATTTTAAAATTGATGGAAATAATTCCCATCGGTTTGGATACCTCATGTCTTTTAAAGCTTCTGGAACGTTGGCGGCGTAAAGTGTACGGTTTTAACGGCCCTATAAACACTAGTATGTTATATACTTAGCGTGACCTCCGTATTTATATCCGAGTTCAAGAACGCCTAGTCTTTGTTTATTTTAGTAGAGTTTTTACAGCAGTCGCAACTGCATAAGGTTCTATGAGCGCCAAGGGGTGGATGTCAACAGAAAACTCCTTATAGGGAACCATGCTTACTCTGCTCACCTCTCTAATTTCAACTGCTTCGACAATCAAGGCACCCCAGAAATAGCGGGTCACAAGAGTGTGACAAACATTCAGAAGAAGTAGAGGAAAAGTGAGGATAGTAAGGATTCGGAAAGAAAAAGCAGCCGGACCCTGTTGCAGTTTAGGCACAGTTATGAGCATAGCATTGATGATGAATCAGCCCATTTACAAGTCTACTACACGTAAGAACATGTTTATGTTTTCCCTTTGGGAATGGCATAAAGACACTTCAGTCAGTAGCACCGCCCCAGGGGAACGCCTAGTCTTGGATTCAAACCAGGGCCACCCGCTCTGTAGTCCAGCATGATGCCAACTGAGCCAGCGGAACGCTCCTTAGGTGTGGGAAAAGCAAAGAGAGAAAGCCTTGCATTGTAAACCTTTAACAGCCCTTTCAACATTGAGAGGTTATAAGGTTATTTAAAGAGGTGTGACCTCAGAACTTAATGTCCGTTTCCGATAAGGACTGCGGAAGTGAATGGAGATACTTGAAAACTCCCCAGGAAATTTAAGTTACCGAACCAGAGGCCAAAAGCACCACTGTCGTACAAGATAAGATAAGATAAGATAAGATAAGATAAGATAAGATAAGATAAGATAAGATATGATAAGATAGGATAAGATAGGATAGATAAGATAGAAGAGATAAGATAAGATAAGATAAGATAAGATAAGATAGGATAGATAAGATAGAAGAGATAAGATAAGATAAGATAAGATAAGACAGGATAGATAAGATAGAAGAGATAAGATAAGATAAGATATGATATGATAAGATAAGGTGAGAAAAGATAAGATAAGACAAGATATATGAGATAGGACAGATGAGATAAGATAAGATAAGATGAGATAAGATAGAAGAGATAAGAAAAGATAAAATGAGATAAGATAAGACAACATAAGATAAGATGCTAGCATATTGGTTTAGTGTGTCACCACATACACGCACACGCACACACACACACACACACACACACACACACACACACACACACACACACAC